TTTTTTAAGAAGTCTTACTCTGTCACCCAGGCTGGAATGCAGTGTCGTGTTCTCAGCTCACTGCAACCTCTGCCTCCTGGGTTCAAGCAATTCTCTGCCTCAGCCTCCCGAGTAGCTTGGATTGCAGGTGCCTGCCACCGTGTCTGGCTAATTTTTTTTTATTTTTTTATTTATTTTTAGAAAAGGCAGGGTTTCACCAACTTTGCCAGGCTGGATTTGAACTCCTGAAATTGTGATCTGCCTGCCTCAGCCCCCCAAAGTGCTGGGATTAGGTGTGAGCCACCGCGCCTGGCCAGGACACATATTTTCTATTATGGCTATAGAAAATGAGTACATTTCCATCGGACATTAAGTAAATTAATTGGTGAGTTACATAGATACATCAAAACATCAGTTTCTCTTTTTTGCAAGGTGGAGAATTTGTCATATTTTGAATCTCTTCAGTATCTTGTCACCTGAATGTCTTGTGTTTAATGGTAAATTTTATAAAATGGTACTTGGCACCTTCTAGAAGTATTTACATGTCATTAATGTTTATTAAATAATTTTTATGGAAATAATTGACATATATGTATTGTCTGAAAGGAATATACACTGATTTTTTTGTTTAGATATATAATTGAAATGCCTTACAGTTTAATTTCCTTTACGAACACTGAGTTTGAGTGATTTTGCTACATTCCTCAAGCACTGTTTTTTCATATAAAACCAAGTGAACAGTCCTGATCGGCAAATGGACACCCAAGCCCAGTGACTCTAAGCTAAGGCCAATCTTGAGTCCACAAAATGATATCACTGAACACCAAGTTGGTTGGTTATTCCTGGTGAGCTTCCCCTGCAGGTGTCCCAACCTGCTCACACCAGTCATGGAAGGATTCTTTTCTTTTTTTCTTTTTTTTTTTTTTTTCGAGACGGAGGTTCGCTCTTGTTGCCCAGGCTGGAGTGCAATGGCGCTATCTTGGCTCACTGCAACCTGTGCCTCATGGGTTCAAGCAATTCTCTTGCCTCAGCCTCCGAAGTAGCAGGGATTACAGTTCGAATTTTTTTTCCGAGCTAAATTTGTTTTGTTTTGTTTGTTTGTTTAGTAGAGATGGGGTTTTTCCATGTTGGTCAGGCTTGTCTCAAACTTTCAACCTCAGGTGAATCCTGCCCACCTCAGTCTCGCAAAGTGTTGGGATTACAGGTGGAAGGATTCTTTATACTGAGAGATGCTACAGAGCTTAATTAGCTGGGATAATAGGCATAAGCCACCAAATCCAGCCATCTTTTTGTATTTATAGTTGAAATGGGGTTTCACCACATTGACCAGGCTGGTCTTGAACTCCAGTCTTATGTGATCCATCCGCCTCAGCCTACCAAAGTGCCAGGATTACAGGCATGAGCTGCCACATCTGGCCCCATTTTGCCTTTAAAAATACACTTGTAACCATAGGTCGGGCGCGGTGGCTCAAGCCTGTAATCCCAGCACTTTGGGAGGCCGAGGCGGGTGGATCATGAGGTCAAGAGATCGAGACCATCCTGGTCAACACGGTGAAACCCCGTCTCTACTAAAAATACAAAAAATCAGCTGGGCATGGTGGTGTGTGCCTGTAATCCCAGCTACTCAGGAGGCTGAGGCAGGAGAATTGCCTGAACCCAGGAGGCAGAGGTTGCGGTGAGCCGAGATCGCGCCATTGCACTCCAGCCTGGGTAACAAGAGCGAAACTCCATCTCAAAAAAAAATACACTTGTAACCATCCTTTTCTTGGGATTGCACTACTGTTCAATGAGTGCATAGTGAGGGCAGTACTGCTAACGCCTAAACAACACACTTGCGTCAACTAGAGCTTTGCTTTGCTTTACATTGGTGCAATTAAAAAAAAAATACACTTGTATCTTTCTAATTGGAGTGTATGTTCAGGGCAACTTTTTACTCTAGGGTTGTAAACTTCAAGCAAGTTTCAACCTTTAGCCCAAATAAACTCCCTACTTAGCTTACCCCAGCTTTTTCCTTTTAGGTCAGAATATTTTTTAGAAAGTGTTGAAGGAGCCTTCATGAGAGAATCTCCCCTGGTTTTACTCTACTTACTATAATTCCAAGATTGCAGAGTCACGTTGATTCCACCCAGAACCTGTGCATAAAAGCTGGCCTCTGCCTTGGATTCATGAGACAGGCTAGACTTTGGGTTGTAGTCATACAGAAACCTCACAGAAGACTTTTTTTTTTTTCTTTTTTTGTATCCTGAGAGGTCAACATAGACATCTTAAGCTGCACTCTTAGAGTGGAGTCCTTTGAGTTTATCAGATCTTGTCCAGTGACCTGCTACAGCTGAGTGAGAGGCTTCTGGTGTCAGCAAAATCCTGTGGCAGAATCTGTAACTTTAAATGAGCACCTTAGCAGTAGGACTTCAAGCCCCAGAATATCTAGAGCTATAATCAAAGCTATGCCTCCTTATAAACTATGTTACTGAAGTAGGGTATTTTTGTTCTTTCTCTTAACTCAGAGTGAGCTGATCAGGGACAGGGGATATCACATCTGGATCCAGGGTTTGCAGCTGTACCAGGGAGGTTTTATTTTTTAATTCACACCCCACAAAGTCACCTTGGGTCTCGTGCCTGGATCACTATGGAAACATCAGCCCAGGGTCACTGAAGACAATCTAACCAACACCTGTGTACATTTGCAACATTTGAGAATGTCCTATGCAGACTGGGGTCAGACTGATAAGAAGGTCTAATTCTGCTCCTGTTTCATAGGAAGAGAAATTATTCATCTAGGGTTTGTTTCTTCCTTCACAGAAAGTGTCTCCTTGCTTTGTACCTAGATGGGAGTTGTTCTAGTTTTCCTGTTCTTTGATAAAAAATGAGGTGATTTGATGATTTGAATACTCAAACTGACCAATCAGCCAATTCCTTCTCTTTTTTTTTTTTTTTTTTTTTTTTTTTTTTTTTTTTT